TTAATAAACACGACTAAGTCATCTCTGGTATCACCAGGAACTCGCAGAATAATATCTGTCATGGGGATATTTCTCGTCTTTAATCGTTCTTGATGATCCCGAAAAACAACGTCATTCAGGTCAACGTCAGCGAGATGCATTTCATCGGCAAGTTCATCCCGTGTCGCATATTTGGATAAATCAATGTCACTGGAACCTTTGCGCGTAGCAGATCTTCCGTAAATATCTACCATTATAACCATTAACCTGTTTAAACTGACTGTTTTATGTAACCTACTGTGACGAGAACTGTGTCCCGATCAATAACAGTTTCTCAGCAAAAACTGTAACTTTAATAGTTTCAGATCTCTTTGCAAATTATGATATTGTTCTGTAATCTATATGTGGAATGACGTCATAGATATGTCGTACACCCCGGTAACCTGAGAAGTGTGTTCTTTTTTGACCATGATGTCCATTCAAACGTATGTTTGACTCGGATCATTTATTTTTATGAAATAATCACCCCATAATTACCCTATATAAAACGTACTTCTATGGGGTTTGTATCTACTCAATTAAAATCATAACCATCTTATTCTTTGCGAAAAATATGTGCGACAGATACTATGAAATATTCTTTTGATAATATATTCTTAGCGAATGTTATTCTCAACAAATTAACGTTGCTCTCCACCAAAGATAGTAAATGAATTTATGTCACTGGTCTCTTCATAATGTCATATACATTAATTATTCTAGAACTCAGATTATCACAATCGGTATCTGTATTTGTGATATTATTTTTTCTCTTGGTGATCTCTTGTTGAATTTTTCAACCGGTGCTGTAATTTAGAGAGCCGATTCCATTGCGGTTTTAACTCTGACTCTATCAATGAGGTGTGTGAGAATATCAGCAAACTTGATACTGATGACTGTTGGGTTTCCTAAAAAAATCACGGGCGACCTGAAAAAAGAATTTCACAGTTTCTGAGATGTATCGTAAACGCAGTTGCATGAAAATCATACTTAGACCGTAATGTGGCTAATCTATCACTTGTTAACGATGTGCTTCTCGCGACATTAGCCTTATCCATGTATGTCTTAGTTGCAGAGTCATCGGCTAATTTCAGTTCTCCCAAGTCATTAATTATATTTCCAGTCATGATTAGAGAATCGGTCATTGAGCCACCGGATAGAGGAATATATCTACAAAGCTTTGCAATTGATGTATTGGAGGTTATTTTTTTCATCCATGGAAATACCACGATATTAACGTTCGTTACACATAAAACTCGCAGAATAATATCGGCTCACTTAATATTGCTCATCTTTCATCGTCATTGCTGATCCTGAAAAAAATGACATCATCGGGATCAACCCCATTGATGAGAATAAGATCAGCAAGTTTTTCACGCATCACATACGCAGACTGACCAACTTCACCTGGGCACTTACGTGTAGCATATATTCCCTAGATATCTATCGTTATTAGCCACTAACCTGCTTAAAACGACCAAGTGTATTCGTGCACGACTTTATGCGGCGGCGGCGCTAATGACGTTGACTTGGCAATAAGTACCTCAAGCACTTCTGGACGAATATTGGGGGATCCGTGGTCGAAAGAAAAAAATAGTGGGCCATCTCTGACAGAACCAGCTGCCCAGGAGATAGAAATAACATAACCAAAAATCAAATAGCGGATAGTGGTTAGTCCAGGCATCGGTTACTCTCATTCGTCCGCCAACACCTTCAAGCAACATTGTTTTGTCTGACATTATGACAGAGTTTGCTCTGTAACTACCAGCTACATCCGTGCAACATTGTTTTGGCCAAAATTTAATATCATGTCTTCGGATAGTTCTCGATGTTTATTTATCCTCAACGAAATCATTGACACCTCTACTCTGTCAAGAACCATTGGGTTTTTTGTCTAATCATTTTACCACGTGGCACGCTGAAATGTCACGAATATATGTCGTGGTTTTGAAATTCCCTGTTATGTGATCTGCCATGAGAATGTTTCTGCTGTGCCTGGAGCTGTTTCTGTAGTAATTGTCAGCTACGACAGCATTGATTTGCCGTCGTCATTCATGAACGATAATAATCATTGTTCTTCCGTCAACGACGGAGTCATAGTTGGCATCGATAATGCTAGTTTTGTTAGTGTTTCTTTATCAGCACCACCCTACCAATCCCACCACGCCAGATAGCATCGCTGTCTGTGGCTCATTGAAACAGTGCAATTGTATGTTTTGCTCCGAAGATAACTTTTCTAACATGTCTAGAAAATACGAAGATCTGTGACAGTGGTATCACACATGAAAATCCACTAGCAGCGTCAACTTGAAATGATCGTGCTGCAAATCCCAGGTTGAATTCTGGATTAACACTCTGTAGAGTCGCAAAATCAGCGCTGGTCGAGGTATCATTTCAACTGGTTGTAGATTAACAGCACTGACCGGCTCTAATTGTATTATGAGATGCTGATTACCTTCGAAGTGACCACTAATGTCCTTCGCGAACATTGTGGATGACCGACGGACAGTGAAAAGTCATCGGAAGATTTTGCAAGACCGATAGTTTTCGAAGCAACATTGATGTTATCGAGACATGTTTCTATTTCTCAAACATCAATTACATATCTGACACTGTTAAACAACTCCTTAATACTGTTGTTAAAGAATCCATATCGTTCATTTGCTGCATATGCGGTATCATCATTTTTCACAGGAACTTAAATAAAATTCCTCGGCGGGCAAGAAATACTTGAATGTAACTTGGACATGTGATTCGAATCGTCTACCTTGGTTTGGTTCTTGTCCTTTATAAGAATAATACTAATAATCACGTACAGATTCGTCATCGAGTGTGTGTCCATATCAAATGCTGGATCAGTTACACGCTTGAACATTTTTATTATATTCTCTGCTGTCAAAAACGACGATCTAACGCTGATCCATAACTGAATGATTAGCGAAGATGACTGGACTGACCACTATCCGCTATTTGATTTTCGGTTATGTTATTTCTATCTCCTCAGCAGCTGGTTTTGTCTGAGATAACCCACTATTTTTTCTTTCCATTGCTCATGTATTATTTTGCTGACACTTGCTGGCATCACCTGCGTACTTGGTAGTTTGTCTGGAATAATCAGGAATAATTTGCATGCTACTGTGGTTTTCGTTGTACAATTCGCTGATGTCTGTCTTTGACCGCAAAAAATGCTTATAGCAAGATTACCAACAGTGCCAATAGCCTTATCAAGAAAAACTTCGATGGCTTTCATACCTAATTGTTCTGCAATCGGAATAGCTTTTGTGTCTATCCTTCTGAATAAACCTTGAACAACATCGCCATGTCCATCTCCGTAGATCAATTTAAAAACAGGTAATAGTGAATTTATCACCCTGACATTTTCGGGTCTACGTTGTGTGTTCTGTATTATCTTGTTATTTTGTTATCGCCGATCTAATTGATCACTTACTGTGGTAATTGTCGGTAATTTAATTTATTAGCGCCCGATAGACGACACGGTCAATAACGTCACCGGTAAATGAACGCTGATAAATAGAGGCTGCTTCTTTGATGATTTCGTGGGAATTGTTGCGGGCTCTTCTGCTAATTTGACTTTCTAGTCGATCAACGTAAGTGAGGACACTATTGGGACAAAATTTATATTGAATCACCGGGGATTCAGCTATCATATTACCACCTTGTTTCCTACGATGTCGATAGCGAGTGGCAAAGCCACTTCTGGTCGCTCTGTCAGGTGGTTTGTTTTCCTCAAGATACATTATTTATTTTTGTAAATAATACTGTTTATACATTCTCCGTGAATACCAACCATTTTTGAGTATTGTAATCACAGACCTATTTTGCTTGACTAGCTCTACATCTGGACTGCCATTGCATGATTTATGACTGTCAATTATTAATGAACATACACGAATTTCGTCCCACTCGGCAATGTACGTAGTAAGAATTTAAATATAATATTTATGTTTTGTAAATAACACTATTTATACGTTTGATTTGAGCTGAATTTCCTGCATTACGGGACAATTATAAATTATCTTAAACGTTTTTGATTTATCGTCAGCGATAGGTATTTATATTCAGTTCTAACAGATATCATTTGAGCTCCGATAGTGTAGTGGTAATGTCTTTGGATTTCCAGACTATTATTGGTATACTTCGTGGGTTCGAGCCACGCTATCGGCATACTGTTGGCCGGTTTAACTTGAGGTTATTTAGATGGAAGTGCGCAGGCAAAGCGTTCGAAAATCAATCGGAAAACGTACTGATAGGTGCCAATTTACGCATATTCATTACCAGTCGGAACTAGTGGTGGTTTTGCACCACCATGGATTTGCTCTGGGGTGGGTATGAAAAAAATTGTGAGAAATCAGTGTGTATCCTGTTGACTGTAAAAACATAGCCTGCGCGAAAGTTATGGACAACCTTCTGAATTTCTACTATTTCATTTCATATCTAGGAATTCACAGATTCAGTCAGACATGGATTTTACTGTGTTTGCGCAAATGAATCAGACACTATAATGTCAGCTCAAAATAGATTTGTGCAAATTTCATTAAAATTTTTAGCAGCAACCTGAATGAAGTCAAATCTTCACTGTCCTACGTGAAGATCTGATAATGATTGCCTAAGGGATTTTTTTCTGGCGACCTTTAAATTAACCAATGCAATTGAAGATTTCGAAACGCAGAAAGTGAATACAATCGTTCGGCATACACTGATACGCTTCAGGCACACTGACCAGTCTCTCAAACAGAAGATATAATACCACAACTGATTGGCTGACAAAATTAGCGATTATGGCAACACCATAGGTCATTAAAACAAAACTTCTAAGCGGTCACTGACAGATCTTCAAGTAGGACAGTGGATATCTGATTTTTAATATAATTTCATCAAGGTGCGTCTCTTCAAGAAGTACTGTTTTGTAAATTTTCATAAATTTCAGCTTGAGTTTGTTTATGTTTTGTTTAATTCAAACCGCTCCGGTGGCCTAGTGGCTAGAGAAACCGTCTCGGATGCGGGAGGTCGCGGGTTCGATCCCCGGTAGTCATAGCAAAGACTTACAACAATGGTACTAACAGCTACCTCGATTGTCGCTTAGCATTAAGAGGTTAATGTTAGGACTGGTCTGTCTGGTGTAAGGATAATGTGACTGGGTGGGACTACATGCCATATGTTTTGAACATGATGCCCCTGTGTTGGACATCACTATAAACTGTCACACTGCAGACATCATAGGTATATGACTGAAAAATTGTTAAAGCTTCGTTCAAAATCTAAAACACACACATACACACACACACACACTGTTCAATTCAAAATGTTAAAAAGTCGCGAAGCTAAGATTGTGTTCAGTATAAAAGGACCAAAATCGCATTAAGAGATAGTTAAGATGGTACGGGTTTTTCCCGTCGAAAAGAAGATTGGCTACAAAAAAATGTCACATGGCACCTCAGTCCCCAAGTCAAATCAGCAAGATCTGCAAAATAGATTTGGTACTACCTATGTAAATATGATCTGGTTACTTGGTCATGGTGTTGGTAGAGGTGGGTGTATATAAATTTTAACAATTTACATTTTCAGAAAAATGTAATCATCATGAAGATCGTGACATTAAAGTACGTTTAAACGTTGATGCCAGGCATCCATTAACAAAATTACTTCGTTTATGGAAAAGTGCAACATACGTAATGTTACTTTCTTCAAAACTCCCTTTATACGTGGATGCTTTTTTCACGAAATTTACTTTTTGTTATGAGGCTGGAGGACATCTTTGCATCAGACTCATATGTAAATAATAGCATTGATGCAAGAACTACAAGGCCTCGACATACAAAGCAAACGGAACATCACACGGCCATTTTATCTATTTTCGCCTCCATTTTGTACAATGTGAACAACAGCAGTTTCAGATATAATTCATGGTAGCGAGTTAAATCCGAGCTTTCGTAATCAACTTGACCGAAGGGACCAAAGATTTTCCGCCTGCTTAAATTGCTGCGTCATTCGTATATTTGATGTCAATCCATTGTCTATCCAACTTTATAAATATAGGTGATTCGAAAAGATTGCGATTTCTTTTATGCCAAAACAATAATGGCGACAACAATTTTGTAAATTACTGTGCCGACTGAGAATTCAGACATATTTTTGTCTCACAGAAATAGCCGATGTTTCCATAATGCAACTGCGCACAACTTTTGTGGTCGCCTGCCTGCAAGCAGGAAACATTTTGACTTGACATGCGTCTTCCACATGAAATCACTATTCAAGGATGCAGTCATATTTGAGCATCATATGATAACACAACAGGGTGCCGGCATCATTTGTTTTGTTTGGGGGTGGGGGTGATGGTGGTGACGGGGGCAAACATATAATAGTCTGCTATTAAGTGTTATGGATGTAGGCCAAAACACGGGTAGCGGTGAAATTGGGGGTGGTGGTGAAGTGACTCCTTCCCCTTGCTTCTATGTACGAGTGACCATGTAACGCACTGAATAGTTTCAATAATTTCACTTACGACATTCGTGCAGATATAATTACAAAAGTATTATATGTTACCAGTAGCTGTCTTAGGGGTCGTCCATTAATTATGTCAACAAAATGGGTGAGTGGGTGGGTGTGAAGAAGTTTGACAATTGTTAACATGGGGGACGGGAATTAAGAGAAATTGACGTCTACAAAAGTTATTATTTGCAATATATTTATTAAATAAAAAACTAGGAAGATAGGAATATAAACTCTCGAGTTTTTCATGAATTCAAAGTGTTCTAGTCAATTTGAAATCTGTTAAACAAGTAAAAAATGTATTAAAATTTTTTGTAGACCTTTTAATTTTCATAATTCTATTTTTATCTTTAAAGCCAGCCGTAAAAAATATTGTTGATTTGGAGGTGTAGTAATTTTTTTGATATAATTTTATTGGAGGGGGGGGGCACTGAAAGTTTGACAGTTGTTGACATGTGTGTGTGTGCAAAAATTGCCTAAATATTGCTGACATAATAATGGACGTCCCCTTAGCTAACAGGGACCAATTTTGATCAATTTAGCGCCCACACCCAGGATTTACGCCCGTGACCCTCTGTGAGCACGGCATTGGAAATAAACTTTTAAACAAGTTTTATATATTATTGAACTTAATTTTTTTCTTTCGCTTCAAAATATTTTTTTAAGAATTAGTAACGCGATGGGTCCTATTACGCCAAATCAGTCTAAGGCTGGTCCGATATGTTACAACAAAACTCTTAAATACACTCAAGCCAACTTTTTTATATTTCGTTACAAATAGATGCATCTGAAGTAACATCAGGAGACATTGGATTGGTCATTCACTTGTAGTGCAAAGCAGAGACATTTTCCCGTTGCAATATTCACCGTATCTACCCATGCGTTATCGCTTTGAAAGTTGAGACCCAAGTTCCGGCTTGTTAGCTTTGTGTCTGTTTGACATAGCTGTTAACAGATGCCGAGATCTGAAATGAAATTCACAACTCTAAAATATTACTTTGTATACAGGAGTTAATTTCTTTGTGATGCATAGTTTTGAGACTGAAATGTTAATAATAATAATAATAATAATAATAATAATAATAATAATAATAATAATAATAATAATAACAATACCTTATTTATAGAGGGTGCCACGCATTGAGCTAACCGTCAGCTTATCTCACACGAGATCCTCAAAACACTTCCCTCATTAAATGTGCGACGATTACTTTTGTGCAAGAAAATGTATTCCTGGCTAGAATTCTACAGCGTGACCCAACCAAGCGAAACCGTGTGAATTTACCCGAGAACGACAGATAGGAGAGGTACCAGAAATGAAAAAAAAATATTACAATGAATATTTGCTCTATAAGGTTGCAGTATAGGTAACAACTCTAACCAGGTGTTACACAATTTTAAAATTATTTCCTTTCTTGCTAGTTGATTTAGATTTAAAAGGATGTCTCTGTATCCATAATCCGAAAATTACAAAAGGTTTGTATTTATATTGGTGTGGAACAAAGCTTTATCAGAATTTAAGTATTTTGGTGCCATTAGATTCGCTTACAACAAATCAAATGTGGAACTAGTGTTGGAAATAATTAAATATAGAAGTAGAGATGAAATGATTAAATATAAGAGTAGAGTAGGAAATGATGGAATATATAAATAGAGTAGGAAATGATGGAATACAGGCAGGAGTAGAGTAGAAAATGAAGGGATATAAGTAGGAGTAGGGTAGTAAATAATGGGATATAAGTAGGAGTAGGGTAGTAAATAATGGGATATAAGTAGGAGTAGTGTAGTAAATAATGGGATATAAGTAGGAGTAGTGTAGTAAATAATGGGATATAAGTAGGAGTAGGGTAGTAAATAATGGGATATAAGTAGGAGTAGGGTAGTAAATAATGGGATATAAGTAGGAGTAGTGTAGTAAATAATGGGATATAAGTAGGAGTAGTGTAGTAAATAATGGGATATAAGTAGGAGTAGGGTAGTAAATAATGGGATATAAGTAGGAGTAGGGTAGTAAATAATGGGATATAAGTAGGAGTAGGGTAGTAAATAATGGGATATAAGTATGAGTACGGTAGTAAATAATGGGATATAAGTAGGAGTACGGTAGTAAATTATAGGATATAAGTAGGAGTAGAGTAGTAAATAATGGGATATAAGTAGGAGTAGGGTAGTAAATAATGGGATATAAGTAGGAGTAGGGTAGTAAATAATGGGATATAAGTAGGAGTAGGGTAGTAAATAATGGGATATAAGTAGGAGTAGGGTAGGAAAAGAAGGAATATAGGCGTTGAGTATGAAATCATGGAATGCAGACAGAAGTAGAGTAGGAAATAAATGAATATAAGCAGACGTAGAACAGGAAAAAAAATATAGGAGTAGAATAGGAAATAATGGAATATAGGAGTACAGTAGGAAATGATGGAACATAGGAGTAGAGTAGGAAATGATGGAATATAGGTGTAGAGTAGGAAATAATGGAATATAGTAGAGTAGAATAGGAAATGATGGAATATAGGAGTAGAGTAGGAAATGAAGGGATATAGAAGTAGAGTAGGAAATGATGGAATAAAGGAGTAGAGTAGGAAATAATGGAATATAAGCAGACGTAGAAAAAGAAATGATAAAATATAGGAGTAGAATAGAAAATAATGGAATATAGGAGTAGAGTAGGAAATAATGGAATATAGTAGAGTAGAATAGGAAATGATGGAATATAGGAGTAGAGTAGGAAATAATGGAATATAGTAGAATAGGAAATGATGGAATATAGGAGTACAGTAGGAAATAATGGAATATAGTAGAATAGGAAATGATGGAATATAGGAGTACAGTAGGAAATAATGGAATATAGTAGAGTAGAATAGGAAATGATGGAATATTGGAGTACAGTAGGAAATATTGGAATATAGTAGAGTAAAATAGGAAATGATGGAATATAGGAGTAGAGTAGGAAATGATGGAATATAGGAGTAGAGTAGGAAATAATGGAATAAAGGAGTAGAGTAGGAAATAATGGAATATAGGAGTAGAGTAGGAAATCATGGAATACAGACAGGAGTAGAATAGGAAATAATGGAATATAGGAGTAGAGTATAGGAGTAGAGTATGTAATAATGGAATATAGGAGAGGAGTAGGAAATGATGAAATATAAGCAGACGTAGAGTAGAAAATGTTGAGATATAGGTATTTTCTTAATTCAGTGACCAACATTTATTTAGCACTGATATAGACTGATCACCATATTGTACTCGGTGGAATGTGCGTCAGGACTGAATTTGAATGGATCTTGGATGGAGTAAAAGCCCCTAAGACAATTCATGGGAATGGTTGAGGTTTTATAAAATGAAAATATGCGACAACAATCCCTAACTACCTTGCATACTGACAATTCCTTAGAAAGTAAATTCATAACTATGTGCAAATATATGAAACGACGATTACGATTAATGTACGATGAATGAGGAGTATGGTTCCTAGAACCTAATGCTTTCAAAAGGAGTATGATTCATACAACCATTTGATTTAAAGACAAGCATGAGTCATACAA